AAGTAGTTTCTCTTGGCAGCTGCCGCTCTGAGGTGTCGCTCGGAGGTGTCTGGGACGCCGGGGGCAGAGACGGGGGCGCGGTCTCTTAGGCGCGTTCACTTGTGCCTTCCGAAAACTTGTCCTGACGAGGGGCCGCCCTGGCTCTGGGCCCGTCCCAGCCTGGGCCGGGCCGGGCTGCGCCGAGCCCGGCGGAGGGAGGACGTTCTGAAGGTTGGGAGCGACCGCCCGAGGGACGCGAGCTCCTCGTCGCACAAGTGTTCAAGTCGGGGCTGGGCGACGGCTCCCGCTCCTGAGAGGCTCCTGTGTCAGGTGGGAGTTGAATGGGGGCTCCGTGAGCAGGGGTCAGCTCCAGGTCCTCCCCCGACTTCCCCCCGGGAGCTCCGCAGGCTTCCGGACCCCCGGCCCGCCGTGAGCGCAGCCGCCCTCTCCCCTCCCGAGGCAGGTCTCTGGACTGAGACCTAGAAGCCCAGGCTCTGACTCCAGGGTGGGCCGGAGACTCGGCTACTTCCCTGGGCCTCCTTTCCTTATCTCTGAAACCGTGGTCATCATAACGCCTGCCGTTTCCCCCCTGGCAGTGTCGTAAGGTTCAGATGAGATGACATTGATGTGTAGAGTAGGCTGGACAGTCCTTTACGGACATACACAGCCATTCCCAATCGCTCTATGTTGGTGCAACTTCTTAGTAGGAAGTTAGGCAATGCCTTTCAAAATGAGAAAGTGCACATAGCCTTTGCTTCAGCAATTCTAGAAATTGGTATGTCCTACAGATTTAGTGGCCATGTGTGCACAAGAAAGTTTATAGAAGGGCACTTATGCGGAGTGGGGAAAAAATACCCAAACCATCAACAACTTAAATGTTCATCAATAGAAGACCATTTAAGTAAATGATGGATTCAATGAAATGGAGTGTGTGGTTATTTTTTAAAATAAAGCAGAGCAGCAGCTCCTTTTGTTCAAATAAATGCTTTTTATTCTTAAAAAAAAAGAAATAAAAGACGGAGCTTTTTGTACTGATGTGCAACTCTTTGTGATATTGTTTTGAAAGTGCAGAGTAGTATAAGTTAATATGCTATAATTTATTTTTAATTATATTTTGATTATGCTATTACAGTTGTCTTGATTTTTCCCCCTTTGCCCCCTCCACCCAGAACCCCCTGCTCCCAGAACCCCCTACTCCCTCAGACAATCCCCCCACCATTGTTCACGTCCATTGGTCATGGGTCGTGTGTATAAGTTCTTTGGCTACTCCATTTCCTATGTTGTACTTTACATCCCCATGTAAATTCTGTAGTTTTTCCTCTAACTTGTACTTTTTTTTTTAATTTCTAGAGAGGGGAAGGGAAGGAGAGAGGGAGGGAAACATTAGTGTGTGGTTGCCACTTGTGAGACTCTGGCTTGGGGACCTGGCCTGCATCCCATGTGCCCTAATTGGGAATCAAACCAGCAACCCTTTGGTTCTCAGGCTGGCACTCAATCCACTGAGCCACACCAGCCGGGGCCCTATTTGTACTGCTTATTCCCCTCACCTCTTCACCGGTTCTCCTTCACCCCCTCCCATCTGGCAACCATCAAAATGCTCTCTGTATCCATGATTCTGTCTCCGATTTTCTTGTTTGCTTAGTTTGTTTTTTAGAATCAATTGTTAATAGGTATGTATTTTTTGCCATTTTATTGTTCATAGTTTTTGATCTTCTTTTTCTTAAATAAGCCTCTTTAACATTTCATATAACAATGTCTTAGTGATGATGAACTCCTTTAGTTTTTTCTTGTCTGAGAAGTTCTTAATCTGCCCTTCGATTCTAAACGATAGCCTTGCTGAGTAGAGCAATCTTGGCTGTAGGTCCCTGTTTTTCATGACTTCAAATGTTTATTGCCATTCCCTTCTTGCCTGCAAAGTTTCTTGTGAAGAATCTCTTATGGGAACTCCCCTGTAGGTAACTAACTTCTTTTCTCTTGCTGCTTTTAAGACTCTTTCTTTATCTTTAACCTTTGGCATTTTAATTATGATGTGTCCTGGAGTGGGCCTCTTGGCATCCATCTTGTTGGGATTGTCTGTGCTTCCTGGACTTGCATGTCTATTTCCTTCCACAAATTAGGGAAGTTTTCTTTTATTATTTTTTTGAATAGATTTCCAGTTTCTTGCTCTTTCTCTTCTTCTTGGCACCCCTATGATGTGATTGTTGGACCTCTTGAAGTTGTCCTAGAGGCTGCTTACACTATCCTCATTTTGGGGGGATTCTTTTTTCTTCTTCTTGTTCTGGTTGGTTGTTTTTGGTTCTTTATGTCCCAAATCATTGATTTGATTCTCAGCCTCATCCACTCCGCTGTTGATTCCCTGTAGATTGTTCTTTATTTCCATTAGTATAACCTTCATTTTTGACTGGATCTTTTTTATGCTGTTGAGGTCCTCACCAAGTTTCTGGAGCATCCTTATAACCAGTGTTTTGAACTCTGCATCTGATAGATTGCTTATCTCTATTTTGTTTAGCTCTTTTTCTAGTGTTTTGATCTGTTCTTTCATTCAGGCCATGTTTCTTTGTCTCATTTTGGCAGCCTCCCTGTGTTTGTTTCTATGTATTAGGTAGAGCGGCTTTGACTCCGTGTCCTGGTAGTGCACCCTAATGTAGTAGGTGTCCTATAGGGTCCAGTGGCACAGCCTCCCCTATTACCCAAGGTAGGTACTAGAGGTGCGCCCTTCATGTGGGCTGAATACACCTTCCTCTTATAGATGAGCCCTGGTTGCTGTTGGCAGATCAATGGAAGGGATTGACCCAGGCCAGTCAGCTGCAAGGACTAGCTGTGATCACTGGCCACCAACCTCTACCCTCTGTGGAGGATCAGCTATGCAGGAGCAGGGTGGTGGTGCTCCAATGTGGTCGATAGCTGTCTACTGGATGCACAGGCTCTGGGGTTTTCTGGGCGGTGTAGGCCGAGGTCAGCCTCCCCGTGTCTTGCCTGGGGCCACCCTGCCCGAGCTGTAAAGCAACCTGAGATAGTCGCTGCTTGCGCTAGGTTTGGAGATTCCCAGGTGAAACCAAGCTGTGAATCTAAGATGGCTGCTGCTAATGCTGGGCCTGGGGCTCACGGAGGCCAGCGGTTGCTCGTTTGATAGTATTTGGGAAGTTGTGAAGCCTGAGCCAAGACCAGCCATTCACATGGAAAGCAGCTTGGGTGGGCCCATAATTTAGGTGGGGAAGAGTCTCTGGGAATCTTCAAGTCGGATCAAACAGTGTTAGCCAGGTTATGTAGTCTCAGATATGGCACCAGCCCACCAGGTCAGTCTGGATGGATGTGGTTTCTTTAATTCCATAGTTGTCAGACTTCCATTCAACTTGTTTTCTGATGGTTCTGAGTGATGGCTGTTCTATATTTTAGTTGTCATTTTGATGTGGTTGTGTGAAGAGGCAAGCCATGTCTATGCTGCCATCTTGACCGGAAGTTCATAATTTATATTTTTAAAAAGAATATACAAATATATTTGATGACATAAGCACAGACTGTTTTTTGGGGGGACTCAGGAAGCTGGTAACAATGGTTGCCTGTGAAGAACTGGAGGACAGAACCTGAGGAAGACACTTTTCATTTTATATCTTTTTTTAAAAACCATTTTTTGCCCCTTTAGCAATTTGTGAGTTTGTATATACATATAGTTCTTAATCATTTGCATTTTTGATGCAGTTTCCAGTTTTTGTTGCCCCACATGCTGAACTCTCACTTCTCAAGAGTTCTCCATAGATTCTAGGGGCCGCACAGCTCAGAGTTCATAGTTGGACCCTGCTTTGGCTTCCCTCCTGACACTGTCACCGCCATCTGCTCCAGCAGCAGCCTAGGGGACGAAAAGGGCCATCTGGGTGGGAATCGTGGTTGGCTGTAGGGTGGCAGTCAGCCCCCAGTGTTTGCTCGGCTGGGTGGACCAGCCAAGTGGGTCAAGAATCAGAACTAGCTTCTCTGTCCCCTGCCCCCTGGGGACCCTAGGCATGCCGACCACAGGTATAAATGATTTTTCCAGAGGGCATGTTGAGGCTGAATTCTGTCAATGCATAATGGCATGCATTGCCAAAGTGGGAGGGGGCGCCTAGGGGCTTTTTGGTCTAATCCCTTTATTTTATAGAAAGACACCGAGACCCAAGGAGAAGTAACTTGTAAGTCATAAAGCTTGGGTTAGAACCCAAGTCTCCTGCCTCTGGGAACTCTGGGGTGAGAGCACCAGGGTGTGGGTGAGAGATTCATTCTTAAGACTGGGCATGAGGTCTCAACCAACAAAAACATCTGGTGCCAACTCCTACCTAGGGCCTGCTTTGTGTGTCATAGGACAGTGTGTGTAATCTTGGGAAGAGGGGCTAGAAGCAATAAAGACAGAGCCACTTAACTCTTCTTGAACACTACAACTGGCGGAAGGAACCCCTAGGCAGAAGGGGAGTGCCATCAAGCATCCTTCTTCCCTGGTAGTGATGGGCTGGCTTGGAAAATCAGTCTCTCTTGCACTGTGGCAGGAAAAGGATTCTTGGGATTCAGTGTACTCAAGAACTGGCATCAGGTGTCCAAAAAGAGCCTTAATATTTGGAATGGGCTTGGTCCTGTCCAGACAAGTGTTGGCAGCTTCCATTTCCTCATAGGTAACTCCCTTCAGCTGCCCCAGCAGAGCCCAGCACCTGCTGCCCAGTGTAGACCTGCTCCCCGCCAACCCGCCTGAGGGGGCCGTGGGCAGCTAACATTTACCCAGGCCCTGCCCTAGGAGATTAGGGAGACAACACTGGCCTCTCCTCTTTCCCATTCTTCCCTCCACTCCACCCCAAACAGGCCTGTCTCGAGACACCTGGGAATTGTGCAGAGACTGGAAGAGGTCAAGAGAGGCCAAACTCCTTGTGCAACCACGTAAGAATTGGACTGACAGGTAGATGGCTTTATCATGAAGTTGAAAATAATATGAAAATGTTTTTTATTTCTAAGTACAAAGCCAGATACTATTAAGACTATGAAAAACTGGTCAGAGGCCGTGAAGGACAAAAAGAAGACTCTCTTTGGCCTGCTGCCCTGTGTCCCAGGGCCTTGTCACAGCAGGGATGTGAGTAGGGGGGTTACAGGGGGCAGCAGCAAGAGACTCCGGCCAGCTACAGGGCACGTGAGGGAAGCCAACCTGCCAGCCCTGGCAGAGGACCCCGCTCTCTGCTCCTCAGAGCCTCCCAGGACTGGGCACCGAGGACTGAGGTTACTCTAGGCCTTTGGGGGCCACTGGTTCTCTGGCCTACAGGGCCCCAGTAAAGTAAGGGCACAGGGACAGGCAGACGGGGTGGGTAAGGGAGGGAGCATGAAGGAGTGCTGGGAAACGGTGTTTTATTCTGTGGCTGCAAGTGTTTCAGGCAACAGTTGAGAATGCCCCCCAAAGCTCCTTCCGTCTCTCTACCATATCCCCAATTACAGAGAAAGTCTTGAGCCCTTGGACAGGTGGACATGGGTCTGAGACTTAAGGCTGTAGGAGCTGAGGCTCTAGTGACGGGGTCTGGGCCTCCTGGGGAGGAGCTAAGAGGAGCGCACACCGGCGGACAGGAGTGAGGAGTGCTCACCCCAGGAGCTGCGCTCAGGCACTCTGTTTGTGGCTAGGGGGCCACGGGCGCGAGCGAGGGCTCAGGCCTCCCCCTCCTCCCCGCTGCCATCCACACTGGCCTGCCTCACCACCTTGCGGACCCTGGGGGTGGAAAAATGGCCCGCCACCTCCGGCTCAGGCTCCGGCTCCTGCTCCTGGAAGGCCCGGGTCCGGCTGGCCACCAGGGCGGCGCTGTTGAGGGCAACCACAGACTGGCGAGACTTCAGGGCAGGCCAAGGCCCCTTGTGGACCTGCTGGCCTCCCTCAGCCTTTGAGAGCTGAGGGAAAGGCTGTGGAGGGTCTTTCTCTGAGGATTCGTTTGAAGAGAAAACCTGGAAGGGTGAAAGTATAAGGAAGAGGAGTCATGGAGCACAGGGCCTAGAAAAGGGCAGGTACAGAACGTTGACTGAATTCAAAAAACTAAGCTACTCATGAGCCACACTTCCCTAGGAGGGAAGGCAACACCCCAACCCTACTGCCCTCGCTTCTCAGCCCTCACCTGTCCACGGCTTCTTTCCGGCCCCAGGAGCCCTCCTCAGCTCCCCTGCACCTGCCATGCCAGGTGGGCCCTCACCTCCTCCTCTCGCACCCTCCGCCTTTGGACAGTCAATTCTGAAACACCTTCCCGGCGCTGGGCCCTGAGCTGGGTGCGGAGGGAGGACACCCTGCCTTTAGGAGCACCCACACCCATCCATCAAGCATCCATCTCTCCCCATCCTTCCACACCCAGCGCCACTCCCTCCAGGAAGGCTCTCCCAAATGTTCCCTCCCTCTGGGAGACTAGCACTCGAAGGCTTGGTCCTCCAGGTCAGCCAGGATTATGGTTGCATTAGCACTGTAATCCCTCTGCGCCTCCCCCTCTAAAGTGTTGCCTCTCAAATTTGGGAGGGGCTGCCAAGGTCATTTTATCTACCCCCATCAGAGTCAGCAATCAGTGGTCTAGCTCCTGGCCTGGGGAGGTTGCTCTTGCAAGGCGGGGCAGCCCTGTCCCTTAGGAAGCAAATCCTAAACTGCCTGCAGCCTGCAGCCTGGGGCTGGCTCCCGGGGAGGCCCCTGGGAGCCCCTGGTCCCGCAGCTGCTCTCCAGCTCCCATGGAAGGCAGCACTCACCTGCCCTCATGAGGTCTGCTCCGCTGCTCTGAGGCTCTGAGGGGACCAAAGGAGCTGCCTGGGGCATGGTCCCCCTGCTTGGGCGCCCCTTGCTCAGGGCCGAAAGCCGGAGCACCAGTCCTGGTCTTTCTCATCCTCCTGCCACCTGCCCCTTGCTCCTGTTGGACACCACCACCTCCAGCGTGGGCTCCTTCCTTAGTCCCAACCTCACCTCTGGCAGGTCAGCAGCCTCTGTTGTGCTCTCCGGCTCCGAGGGGGGCTCCAGGAGGCTGATGGACCTCATGACCCCACGGAGGTTGATGCGGCGCCTTGGCCCAAGTTCTTCTTTTGCGGATGCCTGGCTTTCCTCCATCCCCATAGCCATTACCTCCCCACTGCCCCCTGGTTCTGGTGGAAGGGGTGGGAATGGTGTAGAGACCGCAGGGGCCAAGGATTCCTCTGGGGAGGCCCCACCCACTTTCTGCTCCCAGACGTGGCTCTGCCGGCTGTGAGAAGGTGGCCCTGAGTCAGCTCTGGGTGACCCAGGAGCCACCCCCACCACCCGTCTCCCCCTCGTCCTCCACCCTGTACCTGGCAGTCAGGATGCCCTGGTAGGTCTGCAGCTGGCGCAGGAAGCCAGGGTTGGGGCGGACGACGGGCCGGAGCTCCTGCACGTGGCGCAGAGCCTGCTCCAGGCTCCAGCCGTACTGCTTCATGGCATAAGCTACCACCGTGGCTGCTGAGCGGCTGACGCCCATCTTGCAGTGAACTAGCACTCGGGTGCCCTGCGCTCTGTGGAGGCAGGACTCGGTCAGCTCCCCCTTCCCTGCCCTCTCTCTGTGAGGGGCACTGCTGTGTGGGGGCAGGGCAGACAGCCGACTACCACCCAGGCAGAGGGGGAAGGAAGGATGGATCCGAGGGCCAGAGCAGCCAGGAGGAGGGGATGGGAGCTCTTGAACCTGGGGTGGGGTAGGCAGTGGGGATGGGGACAGCCTGACCTCGCAGCCTCCACGAAGCTGTGTGTCTCCTTCCAGTGAGGCAGCAGCTGGGCTGACTCCTCATCCCAGAGGCGCACGTTGTGGTAGGTGAAGCGCTCAGGGTAGAAATTGTCGATCTCCCGGGCCATGTTCAAGATGTGGCTGACCCTGCAGCAGGGAGTGCGAGGCCAGGCTGACGGGGCCGGTGGCCCCGGCCCATTGGCCAGCGGACCTGGCCGACCTCGGTGTCCCTGTTTAGTTCTTGGTTCTGAGTCCGGTGGGGGATGGCACAGTTACGGTGGGAGGAGAAGACTCTGACCCCAAGCCGATCACGTCACCCCACCAGGCTTGTTTCCCTGTCTAGTCCAGGCGGCTGCTTGGGTGGCCTGCAACGCTGAGCCTCCTGTTGGCCTCAGAAGTCAGCTTGAGGACAACCTCTGAGCTCACCTGAGGGTGGGTGGGTCTGTAGCAGCTGGGTGACAGGGGCCCTAACAGGTTTCCGAGCAGCCCATGGAGGACAATGAGAGGAACTTACGGGAGCAGGTGGCCAGGGGTCCCCAGAGCGGGCACTCCCATCCCCCCTTTACAGCATGGGGAGGGAGAGGAGTGGGCCGGGAGCTGCCAGCAGGTGGCTGCTCTGGCCTGGCCTGAGCCCATGCTGAGGGGAGGGGCTGCCCCAGGGCCAGAGCCAGAAGCTGAGTTGACAGCTGATCAGGGGAGTCTAGGGGTTTCTGACCAGGTGACCCCTAGAGAGGAGGCCAAGCAAGAGGGATGACAGAGGGTAGGCTGTCCTGAGGGGGCCCGGAGCCCTACCTGTTTCTCTGCAGCTCCTCCAGATTTGCTGCATTCCACTCTGAGCCCTGTGGACAGGGAAAGAAGGACCCTCATTCCTCCGCCCTGGCTGCACGGTCCTCACCTCCCACCCCTCACCCTGCAGCCCACCAGGTAGAGGTGTGGGAAGATGCGGGAGGCCCGGTCTTGCTGAGCCATGAGCAGCAGCATCTGGTTATCGATGAAGTCACGGTACTGTTGGAGAGGGCGTCCCAGGCGGAGCTCCAGCGCCTGGCGGATCTGCAGCCAGGAAGGAGACGAGAGGTTCCTGAGGCCTCATCCTTCCCTCCAGGGCTTCTGAGGATGGCATCGTCCCATTTAAACCGGGGCGCTGAGGCTAAGCATCTGGAACTGGCTCCAGATGGGAGGAGAGCCAGGTGGGAGGGCTCCACGGAGAGGGAGACTCTGGCCCCCGCGGGAGGGTCCCCCTGCCCTCTCCGGGCCCAGCTCCGCCCGGCCCCGGGCCCCTGCCCACCTCTTTGGAGGTGATGCTCTCCAGGTCACTGGTGTCCAGCACCTTCCACAGCTCAGCCCGGATCGCTTGCTCCATCTGCTCCTGTTCCGAGGGTCTGGGAGCCGAGACCATCAGTCCAGGGGCCCCTTTGCTGCGCTGCCATGGCGCCCCCCTTTTCCTCCCCTCCCTGTACTGACCGGCCGGGCTCAGCGCCGGGAGGCCGCAGGGACTCCAGGTCGGCCATGGCCATCCACTCGTTGAGACAGCTCTGGTCAGAGCTCAGTCTGTCCTGGTAGTGGCTGGCCCAGGTAAGGGCACTGCCTCCTGGCACAAGACCGCTGCCTAGGGCCGCTTCACATGCCTGGTGCAATACCTGGAGTGTGGCCCTGGGACAGAGGAGAGGCTGGGTCACACTGTCCTCCCTGCAGCCACCTCTGAAGAGAAGCCAGCCCAAGGTTGGACTACCCCGGCTCTTACCACATGGTCTGGATGGAGATCGGCTTGAAGATTCGGCTCTGCCCACCAGACGTCACACTGAAGCCCCTGAGGGAGACCAAGCAGGTGTGGGACCCCACTCTGGGCCCAGGGACAGAGCCCCTGAGAGGCCCACCCACTAGGCACCTCATGAGGCTGGCCCTCAGAATATGTACACATCATGGGCTTCAGAATAAGCCCTTTTGCCAGATGCGGGGCGGCTGAAGCTCAGAGAAGTTAAGTGACTTGCCCAGGGTCACACAGCAAATCTGAGGTAGAGCTGGGAGTAGGCCCAGGCCCCAGACATACAGCCTGGCCTTTGGCAGCAGCTCCCCAGTGCCCCACCCCCAGCGCATACATCACACCCCGGCCCCCTCTTCTCCTCCCTCCAGTTACGCCTGCTTACCCATCTCCATCGAGGTACACCTGCGTGTCACTCCAGAGAGGCAAGACCAGGCCCAGGGTGCAGCTGGGAGAGCTGGCGGGACACAGAAGGAAAGCCATTGTCCCCCAGCGCCTCGCTCCCTTGCCCCACTCGCTTCCTCTCCCTGCTCCCACCTGCTATCAGGGAAGTCCACCCCCAGGAGGACTGTCTCATCCTCGCTCACACGCTGTCTTGTGGAAACTACCAGCAGGTAGCGGAGCCGGGGAGGCCGTGCTGCCTCCAGCTGGACTGCCTGGGGAAGATGGGGCGAGAGAAGCCCAGGGTCACAGTGGTCCAGAGGGCCCTGCTCCCCCTACCCCCACCCCGACACACACCAGGGCCTGGAACAGACCTGCTGCCTGCTCCCTCCCCGCCCACCCCCTTCTTCCCAGATACCAGATCAGTGGTTACATTCCAGTGGCTCCCAACATTTGGATTTCATGGTCCAACAAAATGCTTTAAAAGATTTTTCTTAAAGGGTGTGTGTGTGTAAAAACGGGGAGAATGGGCCTGACAAAGACTGCCCATTTTTAATTTTGGCCCAGGAAGGAGGTTTAAAATAGCCCTTTCACTTGCCCTTACCATCATTTCATTCAAGAAACGTTTCTCACCAAAGAAATACTAAGGACACAATCTCACAATAAAAGATGGTGTTTCTGTGGAATTGGCTTTACAAAAGACTGACTGCGCCTTCTTTTCCCATTTGGCTGCAGGAAGAGGTCCCACAGGCAGCTGGGAACGAGTCCTCCCACGTCCACCTGTGTCCCCGCCCACTCAGCCCCTCGCGCACACTGGCTCCTGATGGGGGCCCAGCAGGCCCCCTGAGCACGCAGGTCCGTTTATGGGCAACTCACATGCTCAGGGAGGTCTTGCTGTGGTTGCACAGAAACCCGTCCCTCTGCAATCCCAGTTCCTGGACCTAAGTGGGCCCTACGGGCTCAGGCTGAACAAACCTCCATATCCTTCCCCAGCCCTTCAGAGACCTGAAGACCAGCCCTCACCCTGTTAAAACAACTCCAGCATGGTTGTCAGGGTTTGGGTAACCCCCTCACTCCCCAGGGGGCCGCTTTCCCTCACACCACTGCTCCCCAAAGACATACGCACACTGGCCCCATTCTGCCCTCTCCTACCCCCACCCCAGGGTGGCTCCCTCCCCCCTCCAAGGTCTCTGGAGGGCCCCTCACCAGGCGGATGTCGTCCTGCGGTCTCAGCAGCTCTACCATGAGTTGGAGGTGCTGACTCTGCTCCTGCTTCTGGGGACTCTGGGGCCCATGCCCATTGTCTGTCTGGTCCCTGTGGAGCTGCTCTTCACCCAAGGGTTCCTCCGCAGGCTCGGGGACAGGCTCGGCTGCATCTCCTGTGTCCCCTCCGTCCTGCAGTCCTAGGACAGCCCCATGGAGCACTGCAAAGCTCTGCCTGCCAGGGCAGTGGGGAGACCGTTAGGGCCCACTGCAGGAGACCCTGAGGGCAGGGGCGCCTCAGGACCCCCTGGAGGGCCCATTAAAACAGGTGTTGAGCCCCACCTGCACCGGGTCAGCAGGTACGGAGCGCAGAGGCCTGAGAAAGTGAATCGCCAGCCAGTGCCCAGGCGATGTGACCTCCACACTTTGAGAGCCCCTGCCCTGGAGGTTCCTGAGCCCCCAGCTCATCTATTCTTATCTGAGGGACCGCATGTCGCTCCCTTTCCCTTCCCAACTACCTAGCTCAGAAGATACTGTAAACTTGATGGGGACCCAGGAGTCCTCTCGCCCTGTGGTCGCATCCTGCCCTTTGGCTTGTGAGCACTGGTGTGAGCCAGGTCTAGGAGAGTGGGTGCAGAAACCCCAACTGACCAGGGGAAAGATGAAAGCAAAGGCAGCCTGGCCAGCGCTGCCAGCCAGCCATGCCCACTGGCAACATCGCCCCAGCGTATCCAGCAGTTGGCTTTGGCGGCCAGCCCTCCAGGAGGCAGCGTCCAGGCCTGGGGGCTGGATGGAGGTGTCTGTGCTGCGGAAAGGTGCTCACCTTCGCTGGAGCCGGCTTCTCCGCTTGGAGGCCTGGTCCTGCTGGGAAAGCAGCCCCCAGGGAAGAGTTAGGGGATGCGGGGGCCGGGAAATTGCCGCCCCCACCCACCCCTGTGGGGAGTGGAACCAGAAAAGGTGTCAGATACCCTTCCCACCGCAGTCTACTGGCCCCCGGAGGCGCTGGGGGAGCCTGCGCCCTGGTCCAGGGAGGCAGCAGCGGGGGTAAAGGTGGGAGGAGTGCTAGGGCTTGGCCAGGAAGGGACAGGCCTCCGCTGACTGGTATGGCGCTCAGGGCTCCGGGTCTTGCCTTGGTCAAAGTTCATGGACGCCTCAAGCTCCCTTCCCCCCAATCCTCTACAGCCTAAGACCTGGGGTCCCCCTTCCCACACCCGCAGCCTCGAGGGGCGGCCGCCCGTAGGCGGGACGTGCTCCCCCGGGCCCAGCTGGCCGCCGACTACGCGGGCAGCAGCACAGCAAAGCCAGACTCACCGGGGGCCCCACAGGCGTGGAGTAGCCGCTAGTCGGGGGCGAGCGGCTCACTGTGACCAGAGCCATGGGGTCAGGCGGGGGACACCCTGGTCGGCACTGGGCACAGAGCCCTCCCACAGCCACAGGACAGTTCCTGCCCAGCAGGACCAGGAAGGAGAGACGGGAGCCACCAGGGCCTGGCACCTCCTCGGGGGCGGCCCTTAAAGGGCCAGACGCGCGTCCAGCCCAGCCAGCGTAGCCACACCGAGAGGCAGCTGCCCCGCCTCTCCCGTCTCCTCGGTTTCTGCCCGCCTAGCCCCCGCCCGCAAACGCGTTGGGGGCGGAGCAGGGGGCGGGGCGCAGGTGCGGAGCCCCGAGACCTGCGGGGAAGGAGCCGGAAGGTTCGGTCCCTCCTCCCAGGAAACACCTGTGTCCCTGCCCCGCCCAGTTAGGTCACCTGGGCTCCGCTTTGGGCCGCGGCGGGTCTGTTACCTAGCGGAGGAGGGGCCTAGGGAAGGCGGGGCTGGGAACCCAGGTCTGAGAGGCAGAGTGGCTGTTAAGTCGAGGGGTACCCGAGACGTATCTCTTCTTGCTGGCTGGTGCTTCCAGTGTCTGCGCGAAGCACTGGGAGACACGCAGAGCCTCAGGGGGAGTCAGCAGGCCTCTAGGACTAGCCCCTGAGGCTGCTGGGGCTCCTCAAGGCCACCTTGGAGGTGAGCAGGGCAGGGCTGAGCAGGTCACAGAGGGTAGCGACTTGCCCTGATCACTCCCATAGGACGCGCTAGAGTCGGAGGAGGAACCCAGGCCTGGGGTGCAGGGGGCTCTGCTCTAAGTCGAGCCTGGAGGCCCAGCCTCTCCCGCTCCTGACAAGGGCACGGGTGGGTTCTGGGGAAGCCAGACTCGGTAGCAGGAGGAGCCTGGGTCTCTAGTAGGTGGGACAGGGCTCAGGGGAATTGAAGTTACAGAGCACCTCTGCTGTATGGGCACTTGGCACATTGACTCATTTTACCCTCCCAGCAGCTCCGGTTGAGGGTGGAGAATGGGGGGGGGGTGTGTGTGTGGAAAGTAGCCTCATTTTACAGCTGAGGAAACTAAGGCATAGAGAAGCTAAGGGGGGATCGCAGCCAAGATTCAAACCCAGGTCTGGGGCCACCCACCATGTCTCCCCTTCCCCCACATCGAGCAAGCAAGCCTGCTGCTGAAGGTCTCTTTATTTCTACCTCGGACTCCAATGCCAGCCCACACCCAGGGCTCCAGGCCCCAAACTCTGTAGCAGACAGTTTATAAATAAATAAGTTACAAAAGCGGGTGGGGGAGTGGCTCCGACAGCCCTCCCAGGGGCTGGGTGATCAGTGCTCAGTGCTCCGTGAGCGAGAGCTGCAGGATCCGCTGTAAGTCTTCCTCCTCCTGCTGCCCTCGCCGTTCCCGCTCCTCCTGTTCCCGCGAGGACAATTCCAGGGCCAGGCGAAGCTGCTCCTCAAAGCTCGGCGGGGCTGGGGCTGGGGGCGTCCTGTGAGGGGATCCCGGGCCCCTGGGCTCAGTGGACATCTGGAGGCTTTCCTGGAGGGCCCTTCCAGGCAGGGTGTGACAGGGAGAACACACCAGTGAGTGCCAAAGCTGGGGGAGGGGGCCGAGTGCTGGGACATGGCTTTGAAGGACAAGGACAAGGACAAGGACGGGCTAGCTGGGACCTGGGAGACCAGAGAGAAGGGACAAGGTGGGGCCCTGTCTTTCCATCCCATGTGCTGCTTTCGCTGCTAGGCAGTGATGCTGATGGAAGGCGACCTTGAAGAGGGCATGGGGTCCTGGAACCAGCACCTCCCTGCTACCCGCCCCCAACAGCAGGTCCCAGAGGGGGGCAGGGCTCAGGCATGGACCTAGTAGGTCCCAGAGGACCTCACCGCTCCAGCTGAAGCTGCTCCTCATACGCCGTGGCTTGGGGAGGAGGGTGGGTGCCAGGCCGTGTGTTGGTCAGGGCTTCCCAGACAGTCACCTGCAGCACCCAGAGCCCAGAGCTGTCACCTCTGCCACCCCTGCCCACACCAGTGTCCGGCCCTGCCCGTGCCCCACCTGCTCCGCCTCTGTGCCTGCCTCAAGCAGGCTCTGCTGGATGGCGAACTGCAGCAGGTCGTCGTCTTCGTCCCGAAGGGGCTCGCTGCGCTCTGCACCCAGCACGCTGTACCCCTCAGGCACCTCGAACACAGCGGGGTCCACCTCACAGGGGAAAGGGCTCCCTGGGGCGGCAAGGGGCCACGTTCAGCCCCCGGGACTCAGGCACCGGCAAGCTGCGTGGCCCCCGCCCTCCACAGTCGTACCTGAAGCTGCGACAGCAGAGCCGGGGGCCGGCACCCACACCGAGCTCAGGGGCTCATCACAGCCACACAGGTTGCTGAAGGTGATGCGGGCGTTGAGCACGTGGAAAAGGGGGATCTCTGTGAGGAGACAGCCAAGCCTGAGCCACTGTGGCCACAGACCCACCTGGGCCTGGCCCCTGCGGCCGCATCCACCCCACTCCCCGGCGCTGCCTGGGGCCCCCCGCCTCCCCACCACCGGCTCACCAATCTTGACCGGGAAGCCAGGTGGGAGGCGCAGGGTGATGAAGTCCCGCAGCTTGGCAAAGTGGGCGTTGCTGATGGCCATCAGGTCAATGATGGGCGTCACCTGGTCACCCAGGGAGAGCGGGTGCTCCTCGCTTAGCCACAGTGTTGCCTTGAATCTACCCAGCCAACCATGGGACGTGGGTCAAGGAACCTCTGGTGGCCCCTCTGCTACAGCCCACCCACACCGGACACCTGCCTTTACCTCGCCCTTCACCTGGCCCGGGGTACCCGCTTCTCCGCTCAGCTGCGCCTGCCTGCCTCCCCCAGGAGCTTGTGTCCTTCTGACCCGGTGACCCAAGCTGTCCCCAGGCCTTGGGCTCAGGTTGGAGCTTATGACAGTTTGCGCCAGCTCAGCTGGTCTAGATGAGGGCAAGGCTGGGCTGCTGGCTTCGGTCCGGGCCTCAAGCCTCGTCCACAGCCCCGTCCTCCCCCTCAGCCCACAGCTGCCAGAGCCTCAGACTCGGAGGGTCCAGCACAGCCCATGGGTCAGCGCTGCTGGGGTTCGAATGCACTGGGTGGCTGGGAAAGTCACATGCGGTTCCTGGGACAGTGCTGGGCCCAGCGTAAGCTCCATGTCACGGCTCATCAGACCCTCACGGCACCCTCACGAGCAGGTGGCCAAGTGTGACTCCCCATTTACTGAGGAGACCAAGCTCTTGGAGGGGAAAATAGTTCCTCTGGCCACAAAGCCAGGAGGTGGTAGAGCTGTGGGCCCTTCCCTCTTTGCTCCAAGCTGGCCCCCACGAGTGCTCATTAAACTGAATAGAAACCCATCCATGGGTGGTTCTGGTCACCCATTCGTTCACTCGTTCACCAAAGGAGAGCCCCAAGGTGGGTGCCAAGGACCATGGATAGGACAGACCTGGCTCCTGTCGCCCAGGAGTAGAGTCTAGAGGGAAGTCAGCTGAGTGAGCGGGTCCCCCAGTCCAGTGGGCTCATCTGTGACAGGAGTCTGTTAGAGCTCAGGTGGACCAGGCAGGGTCCCTGTCGTTGAGGGAAGTCCCCAGTTAGCCCCCAGACCTCACCTCTGTACTTTGCTGGACATCTCAATGGGGCGGCCAATGTTCCGCGACTCCAGGCTGAAGTTGGGGTCAAAGTATTCATCGGGGGAAATGGCTGTGGGATTGGTGGGGCTGGCTGTCTGCTGCACGGGAACCTGGGTGGGCCCCAGGACCTGGCTTAGCACTCAGGACGGCGCCTGCCTGGCCCTGCCCGGCGGCCCCGGCCCCGGCCCCGGCCCCTGCCCCGGAGCCCCGGCTCACCCCGTTGTGGGAGGAGTGCTGCTGGGCCATCCCGAGGAAGGACTGGAATGGAGTCTTTCCCCCTACAGAGAAGGGTGGGAACCCATGAGGGGCCTTTGGGCCACTGCGCCCAGACTGTTCCCACCCACCATTCACCCTGGGAGCCTCCTGTCAGGTGGGAGACGGAGCAGACGGGAATGGGGTGACCTCTGGGCTTGTCCCAGATACTCTGGCTCCCCCAGACCGGGGTGACCCCACCACGTGGTATGACCGGGCAGCAGGCAGGCGCACCTGGGTTTACCTTTGCTCCTCGACTTGTCCTGATCAGAAAGGTGCTCCGTGCGTGTGCGTGTCACCAGCTCCACATTGGTGGCACTGTACACCTGGAGAGCAGGGGGAGTTGGGGGCTCAGAGCCAGTTCCCCACACTCAGCCTCACAGCATAGGACCCAAGTCCTCCTGTTCCGAGGAACAGATGGGATCTCGCTCCCCGCAGTGGAGGAGGCAGGGTCTGAACCCCGGGAAGTCACTAATGAGGGGGAAATGGTCCCGGTTTCATCTTGGTACCCTGGTGGGGGCCTGTGCTGTCGGTGATCCCTATGTGCTCAGCAGGGGCTGGGTGCTCGGGCCCCATGGAGTCCCCATGGCCGCACAGGGCTTCCGGAGCTCACAGGCTCCTCTGTCTCTCCTTCCACATAGGTGGATGTGGAGAAGGAATGGAGTTCCTGGGCCTTGTCTCCTACCCCAGCCCCCACCACTAGCCTCTCCTGCCTTGGCCTCGTAGCCGCTAACGGTTTCCATCTTCTCAGACCGCCAGCCCCAGATACCACATTTGTTCCTGAAACAGACCAAACAGAAGCTCATGAGGATGCACCCCTCCCAACCCTAGCCAAAACCTTCCCTTCCAAAGACCCCCTCCAGTTAGCCTTCTCACTGTGAAACCCACAGGGATCTTTTAAAGATTTTTATTTATTTGTTTTTAGAAAGGGGAGGGGACAGAGAAAGAGAGAGAGTGAAACATCAGTGTGTGGTTGCCTCTCATGTGCCCCCTACTGCGGACCTGGCCTGCAACCCAGGCATGTGTCCTAACTAGGAATTGAACCTGTGACCCATTGCTTTGCAGGCCGGCACTCAATCCACTGAGCCACACCAGCCAGGGCCCCACAGGGGATCTAGAAGAGGATGCCTGGACAGCTGAGACAACTGAATAAGGACTGGAGACTAGAAACTACTGAGGAATTACTGTTAATTTTGTTAGGTATGATGATGGTGTTGGAGCTGGGTAAGATAAAAACATCCTTATCTGTTAGAGGCACGTGCAAAAAATGTTTACTGTTGAAATGATAATGCCATCTGGGATATGCTTCAAAACAGTCCAGAGAGCCCTGACCGGTGTGGCTCAGTTGGTTGGGTGTTATTCCTCAAAGCAAAAAGTTGCCATTTCATTGCTGGTCAGGGCATCTGCCTGGGTTGCGGGTTTTGTCCATCATTGGGCATGAGTGAGAGGTAACCAACTGATGTTTCTTCCCCTTTCTTTCTCCCTCCCTCCATTCCCTTTTCTCTAAAAATAAATAAGTAAAATCTTTAAAACAGTCCAGAAAAATAAAAAGAAAAAGGTAAGGAAGGACAGATTCAACAAGATTGGCAAAATATTGATAAATGTTGAAATTGGGTAATGAGTATATCATAATATTCTTTCCTTCATATATGTTTGAAATTTTCCATGATAAAAAGTTAAAAATAAAAGTATGTCTGATTCAACAGTAATAGCTGGAGACTTCCGTATTTCCCTTTCAATAATGGAGAGAATAAGTAGGCAGAAGATCAACAAGGGAACAGAAGACTTGAACAACACTATAAACTAGGCTTAATAGACTTCCTTAGAACACTCCACCTAATGACAACAGAATACACATTCTTCTCAAGTGCACATGGAATAGTCTTCAGGATACACCATATGTCAGGCCATAAAAGAAACCTCAATGAAATTTAAAGGAGAGAAATTACACATTGTGATCTGCAATCACAATGGAATGAAATTAGAATGTAGTAACAGAAAAAGATATTTGGGAAACTCACAAAATATGTGAAAAGCAAACAACACATTCCTAAATAACTATATATTTATATAGTAACTAAGTAACTATAGGATCAAAGAATAAATCAAAAGGGAAATTGGAAAATAATTTGAGGTGAATGGAAATGAAAACACAACATATCAAAACTATGGGATATAGCTAAAGTAGTGCTTAGAGGGAAATTCATAGCCATAAATGACTATAGTAAGAAAGAAGGAATCCCAAAGCAGTAACCTAACCTTCCACATTGAGACACTGGGAAAAGAGCACAGTAATCCTACAGCAAACAGAAGGAAGGAAACGATGAATATTAGAGTGAAAATTAATGAAATACAGAATAGAAAAACAACAGAGGAAATTAATTAAACCAAAAGCTAGTTCTTTGAAAAGAGCAACAAAATTAACAAACCTTTAGCTAGACTGGCCAAGAAAAGAGACAAGACTCAAACTACTAAAATCAGAAATGAAAGAGGCTATTGCTGCTGATGTTACAGAAGTAAAAAAGATTATAAAAGAATACAGTGAACAATTGTACCCAAACAAATTAGATAATTTAGATGAAATGGAAAAATTCTACAGGGACAAAAATTACCAAAACAAACTTAAAAAGAAACAATCAAATAGACCTGTAAGAAGTAAAGAGATTGAAGTGGTAATAAAATAACTACTCACAAAGAAAAGCCCAGGCCCAGAGGGCTTCACCAAAAAATCCTAATATTTAAAGAAGAATTAATCCCAATTATTCACAAACTCTTGCAAAAACTACACAAGGAGGTAACATGCCCAACTCATCCTATGAGGCATTGCCCAGATACTAAAACCAGCACATTACAAGAAAACTACAGAACAAATCCTTTATTAAATGAATATAAAATACTAGCCAACCAAATCTAGCAACATATGAAGAGAATAATACAGCATGACCAAGTGGAATTTATCCCAGGAATACAAGGTTGACTCAACATCTGAACATCAATTGATGTAACACATATCAATAGGATTTTTAAAAGTTACATGATTATATCAATATACACAGAAAAAAACATATGACAAAATTCAAATCCTTTCATGATGAAAACACTTAACAAAGTACAAATAAAAGGAAACTTCCTCAACCTAATAAAGGGTACCCACACTTAATGGTGAAAGACTGAATACTTTTCCCCTAAGATCAGAAACAAGACAAAGATGTCTGTCTACTCCTGCCACTTCTATTCAACACTTTACTGGAGATTCTAGCCAAAGCAACTAGGCAAGAAAAAGAAGTAAAACAAATCCAAACCCTGGCCAGGTAGCTCAGGTGGTTAGAGCATTATGCTGATACACGGAGGTTGTGGGTTCAATCTCAGGTCAGGAAACATAAAAGAAGCAACAAGTAAATGCATAAATAAATGGAAAAACAAACTGATGTTTCTCTCTCAAATCAATAAATAAAATTCTTTTTAAAAAGCAAAAAAATCCAGGTTGGAAACAAGTAACACTATCTCTATTAAGTGATGACATGATCTTACATATAAAAATAATAAGAAATATACTAAAAATCCATTACAACTAAAAATGAATTCTTTGAGATTAGCAAGGTTGCAGGATATAAGATCAATATACAAAAATTGGTTCTATTTTTTATAAATTTGCAATGAACAATTCAAAACTGTAATTAAGACAATTCCATTTACAATAGTATCAAAAAGAATAAAACACTTAAAATAAATTTATCAAAAAAATGCAAAACATATGCAGTTGATCCTGGAACAAAGCAGGGGTTAGCGGTGCCAACCCCCATGCAATTGAAAATATGTGTAACTTTTGACTGCTCCCCAAACTTAACTACAGTCCACCCTTTGCATCCATAAATTCAACCAATTGAAAGTCCACACTTGGGACACAATGTTGAAAATTGGAATCAGAATTCAACCCGAATTCTTTGCGGAAACTGACAAGCTGAATCGGGAGTTCATATGAAATTGCAAGGGACCCAGAATACCCAAAATAATCCTGAAAAACAAGAATAGTAAGGAGATGCACACTTTCTGATTTCAAAACTTACTACAAAGCAATACCAATTAAGAAAATGTGTCCTAGAACAAAGACAAACATATAGGTGAATGGAATAGAATTGAGAGTCCAGAAATAAACCCAGACATCTGTGCTCAGCTGATTGTGAACAAGGATGTCATGACCGTTGAGTAGGAAAGTAACAGTGTTGAGAACAAATTGTGCTGGGACGACGAGGCAGTCACGCGCAAAACAATGGAGTCGAGCCTGTACTCGCCACCATATGTAAATAGTGACTCCAAATGGCTCAAAGATCTGAATGTAAAAGCAAAGACCGTAACACTTTCTGAAGAAAACACAGGAGAAAATCTTCACGACTTTGGTTGGATTTGGCAAAGTATTATTTGATATGAAACTAAACGTACAAGCCACAGAAGGAAAAAAATAAGTAAACTGGACTTCATGAAAATTAAACACTTTTGTGTTTCAAAGTACACCGTCAAGAAAGTGAAAAGACAAGCCAAAGGATGGGAGAAAACATTTGCAAATCACGTGTCTCATAAGGGACTTATATTAGAATTTATAAAGAACTCTTATAACTTAATAATTAAAAGGTAACCCAATTTCTTAAATGGGCACATGGTCTGAACAGACCATTTCTCCAAAGAAGATATACAAGTGGCCGAAGTGCTTGTGAAAAGATGCTCAACATCATTAGTCATTAGGGAAATGCAAATCAAAACCACAATGAAATACTATTGCACACCCAATAGGATGGTTATAATCCAAAAATAAATAAGCAAGTTAACAATGGGCATTAGCGAGGACGTGGAGCAACTGAAAGCCTCATGCACGGCTGGCAGGAATGTAAAACGCTGAAGCCCCTTTGGTACACAGCCTGGCAGCTCCTCACACAATCAAACATCCAGTTACCATCTGACCCAGTGGCTCCACTCCTAGGTGTATATACCCAAGAAAAATGAAAACATATGTCCATATAAAAACCTGTACAACTAATGTTTATAGCAGCATTTTTCATAATGGTTCAAAGGTAGAAACAATCCTAATGTCTGTCAATGGACGAATGGATAAACCAAATGTGGTACATTAACACAACGTATTCAGGTATAAAAGGAACAAAGCAGTTACACGCTAGAACTTGGATGAACCCTGAGGACACTACGCTAAGTGAAAGAAGCTAAAGACCACATATTATATGATTCTATTCATAGGAAATGCCCAGAATAGGCAAATTTACAGAGAGAGAAAGTAGAGCAGTAGTTGCTTAAGTACAGGGGATAGGGGTGCGGGGACAGGGTTGAAAGGTAAAGGATACAGGGTTTCCTTCTGAGGTGATGAAATGTCCTAAAATTCGCCTATCTGTGAATGTCCTAGAAACCATTGAATTGTACACGTGAAATAGGTGACCTGGATGGTATATGAAAATTATATCTCAGTAAAACTATTTGGTTTTCCTGTTAAGTGTTTCTGAAGTCTGTTATTGGAAAGGGGGCATATGTAGTCACAGAAGTGACACTCTGGCGAGAAGAGCCGGGTTCTAGGCTACGCACAAGGGACTCTGGCCCGGACACAGCCGCACCACTGAAGAGCCCACTTTGGTGCCAACTGCTGCTCTGAACCACAGCCCAAACTCTTGTTTTTATGGGAAAACATGTGAGGTCAGGAGTCAAGAAACTGGGGACACCCTGACCAGGAAGCCAGCTTCCAGTATAGCCAGGCATGTGCGGGCTCGAAGGCTGCCACAGGACACGCAGGTGACCCGTCTCGCGGGGGGGGCCCCGGACCTGCAATAACCCCTCTCCCCTATTCTGGGCAGCCTCTGTACGTGGCTCAGCCTCCCGAACCCCCAAACCAGGAGCCTCAAGGGCACCGCCCACAGTGTGGCCAAGCCCCAGCTAACCTCTCAAAGGCTACATTTCGAGTGTCCAGGTGGGTGGAGACGATAGGAGAGGTGAGGCGACTGGCCACGTGCTCCTCACTGGGCCGCATGGCGGCCAGCAGTGCTTCTGGCTCGTGCAGGGCGAGCCCTAGCATCTCCGTGTGCACCACCTGCCGGTCGTGGTCCACCTCCATCACCAGGGCTCCTGCCTCTGCCAGCAGGGGGAGGGGGGACGAGTCAGCGCCAGGCCCCAGGCAGCGGGTGGAAGGCCAGCATGGTGCCCTCAGCCGCCTGTTGCCGAGGAAGTGCGGCCTCAGCCCCTGGGTTCCCTCCACCCCCAGCCTCCATTTCTACATCTGGAGAGGGGACAGAAAGGACAGCACTGTCTACACACGCGACAAGAGAGTCTTCGGAGGCCACAGTGATCCCCCCTGAGCTCACCCTGGCCCTTGAAAATGAAGCTCCTCCGGCCACGCTGCCAGGTCATGTGCTCGAAGCCCAGGAGACTGGTGTCCACCCGTAGGCTCTCACCCCGCTTCCACACACGGTACACGTCGCTCGGGCACATCTTGGACACAAGGGGCACTGAAGGGGGCACAGAGGTCACCAGGGTTCTTCCCCAAGGGCCCCACCCCAGGCCCCTGGGAGCCAAGCAGCCGCCACTCACCCCAGCTGGTGAACTCCCACTTCATCTCCACGTAGAAATCAGGGGCCTGGGACAGACGAGAGCGCCTGTCATCACCCTGCCTAGCGCTGGGGGCAGGTGGGCCCGGGCGGCTCCTGGTCGGCGGACTCCCTTCTGGAAGCCCAGCCCTTCAGCAAGTCCTGATGTGCTATTGTGGCCCCATTATGCCCCCATCACAACCAAACTCCACCCAGGAGAGGGTGGGCCAGATGGGGCCCTACAAAGGTCTTTGAGTCGTTAGGCTATATGCATCTGGAGGCCTGGGGGCCAGGCTCCACCTGGCCACTGGCCCGCTGGGGGCCCTGGGGAGCTCCTGCCTGCTCTGGCTCCCAGATTCTTCATCTGTAAAGGGGGCACCAGGACCTCCTCTGCGCCTGCCGCTAGGGTGCAGAGCAGGAGGTAATGTGCTCTCCCAGCTCCAGCCCCTGGCCCCCTGCCCCCAGGCCTGACCCTGCATGTTTTGAGAGGGGTGGACAGGTGTTCCAGAAGTCCAGGCCACATCCGTAGAGTTGGATGAAATCCTCCCTCCAGAAAATCTGCATTCCCCAGGAAGCCCGTGGTCTAAAGGTCTGTTGAGGTTCCTGGCACTAGGAGACCCTCAATGCTGGCAAGGACCTTCCTCCCAAAGGGGCCCCTCTCATCCACGTGGGCATGTGCTCCTCTCTTTGCTACGTGACCCCGGGCAGGGGTCAAAGGAGAGGACCTCGTCGACAGTGCTGGGAGAGCATGCCGCACAAGCTGGGTGCCCTTCTGATGCCAAGTGTGGCATGCGTGACCAGGGTGACCCCCGTGCAGTCTGTCACAGCGCCTGCCATGGCACTCCCCCCTCTTACTGGCCACACCTCTGCGCCCTGCTGTACCTGGCGGAGTTTGTTGAGCAGTTCCGGAATGCCGGCCAGCCTCTGAGTGGCCCTCTGGTAGTCCCGATACTGTAGCACAAGCTGCACCATCTCGGGGTCCCCAGTGCTGACTGCCTCCTGCAGGACTGGGGGCACCAGGTCGCTAAGGGGCGCTCTCTCCATGGTCCCAGGCCCGGCCACTCACCAACCGCAGGGTCAGCCTCGGGGGAGCCCCTGCCCTCTGCAGTACCTGCCCAGCCCTGGCAGCTCTCTTTGCCCACGTTGGCATTATGTCGAAGGAGGACTCTCACAGACTCCAGGTTCCCCAGGGACACGGCCAGCTCCAGGGGGGTGCGCCCCCGGGGGTCCTCCTGTTCAATGTCATGCTGGGGAAGATGGGACACTTAGCACAGGGCAAGTAAGGAGAGGCAGAGATGAGACCGCTGGGCTGAACGAAGTTGGGAGCCGATACGAGAAATAAGCAAGGCAGACAGGCGATGGAAATGGCAGAGGGCAGCCTGGTTGTCCCTGCAGGGATGGGGAGGGGGCAGGTGGGAAGGGCCTGCCCACCTCTCCTGTGCTCTGCCAGGGACAGAGCAGGGGGCCCAGCGGCGGGGCCTGGTCAGGCAAAGGTGGAGCTGCGGATGTCAAGAACCAGGCTGCTCGTTCTCAGCCTGCTCGGGGGTGGCGCGGCGAGGGATCCGAGGCTGGATGCAGTGCGAAGCCGGGAGACGGACCAGGCCGAACGCCGGGAGCCGAGACCAGAGGCTCAAGCGAGAGGGGCAGATCACCTAGGCTTCGATCGGGCCGGGAAGGGTGAGCGGGGAAGCGTCTGCGGCACTAAGCAGGGACGGGAGGCCTCCAGGATGGAGGCTACGGCCTTGGCTGGGGGGCCCGGAGGACGGCCGTGGTGCCCGGCGGGCCTCACCTGGCGGGTGTGCAGCGCGGCCTCCAATTCGCGGTGCCGGTTCGCCCAGACGAGCCGGTGCAGCGGGAAGGTGGGGCCCGGGCCAGCCATGCTGGACCTCAGCGCCGCATCCCGGGCGGGCGGGCGGGCGGGCGTGGCGGGGGCGGTCCAGCCCAGCCTCAATGCGTCCGAGCTACGCCCACCACAGCCCCCGAACCCCGGCAGCTCCGCGGCAGTGGCGGTGGCGGCGGCGGCGCAGGCGGTGCGGAGGGCGGGCCTGGAAGGCGGGGCTGAGCCGGGGCGGGGCCTCGGACCGCGCGCCCATCGCCACCCGCAGCCATGGCAACCGCACCCGGGCTCCTGCGCGCGGGGGTCGGGCCGGGGGCGCTGCCCAGCAGCCGGGGCAATCACGCGCGTCCGGGGAAGCCGGGCCCCTGTCTCCACCGACGACGGCGGAACGAGGGTCTGCGGGGGGCGGTCCGGAAGGCGGGGCCTGACTACAGCTTCGTCCGCGGCCTGCAGGGGGCGCCCCAGGCCCAGCGCAGACCCCTCCTTGAGAGTCCCGCAGGGGAAGGAGGGGATCGGGGGGTGGGGCGGCTCGGCGCGGGGCGGGGACTGGGACCTCGGGACATGCGCGCGCAGCCGGCCGCCTTTTGGCTGCTCCTGGGTTATCCTATTTCTCCGACTGTCCTGCCCCTTTCCCTTGCACCCCTTGTCTTTCTAACCCAGCCCCCGCCCGTCTCCTACTCCAGCACACCGTGGGTACCGACTATGCCTGTGAGTGCGGGTGAGAAGTGGGAGGTGCTAGCTCCCCTCCCGGGCACCTTCAAGATACCTCTAAATGATGGCCAGCTTAGCATGAAGCACCCTCCCCAGGGACCAGAGCCCGTGTCTGGTGGTGGCCGCACCACAAGACTGAGCCCAGTCATGCAGGCAGACGGCCCCCCAGGGCCCTGGAGTCAGAGACAGGAGTACTGGGGAGTGAGGAGAGCAGGCCTGGCTAGCTCTAGACCTCTCCTGCCGGAGGACTGTCCACGGTGAAGGGCTTTCATCCACAGCGTGGATCCCTTTTGCAGCGGCTGCCCTTTGTTGCCAGGGTGAGGAGGAAGGAGAGTTTCGAAATCAGAACCGGCCCCTCACCCATACCGGAACCAAGGTGCAGGTCGCGCAGGCCTCGCCCTCGCCCTGTTACCCGGGTTTAGCCTGGGGTGCTACCCTTGCTGGGTGATGAGGCAGCGCCAGACTTGACCAAGGCTGACCATCTGTCTCAGTCTCCCTGTGGGTAAAATGATCAGATGGTTTGATCTAGAAGTTCGAGCTGAGTGTCTGGGCTGGGAGGCTGGTTGCCATTTTCCCCCTGCCCTCTCACCTGGCCAGATGGTACCTGTACTATCTGGGATCACTTTGCCACCCCATCCTGTGGTGTTACCAGGTCCCTGTAATGTCCTTGGGTCCCAGAGCAGCCCAAAGGCCTCCGAATGTCCAGACGTCTATGGCCAGGCCCTGCTGGCTGTCACAGCTGCAGCCCTCACTAGACTCCACCTTTCCTAAAAGGGGCTGCCCCTCCCCCAAGCTCTCTCCATCCCCACCCCACCCCCAGAAGGACTTTCTCCGGCCCAGCATCTGACCTCTGCATAGGGAACACAGCTCCCCACTGCCCCTCGATTCCTGATTCCATTGTCCTCTCAGCCCTTTCCAGGGCCTCTCCTCTGCCCAGCCCCCCCAGCCTCATCAGGCGCCTCCCTGGCTGAAGGCTTGTCTGTTCCCACAGGCACCGATGCCCCCTTCACGACTGCCTTTCAGCTCCCACTGGGACATCTCTGTGCCTAGTGTTCCATGCTATCACATGAGCATGTCTGAAACCAGATGTGGCCACATTTACCCTCTTTCCCTCAGACTGGTGGTGCCCCCCTCCTCCTGCTGTCATGACTCTAAATGGCACCATGGACCTCCCCAGGTGGCATCTTGGACTCCCACCTCTCTCGCTCTAGGTCCCACCCATTCCTGGTAGGCTGTGCCCTTCCCACCTGGCCTTTTTGCATCTCTTCCTGCTCCAACCGCAACCACATTATGACATCTCTTCCCTGGGCAGAAGCTGTCTCCCTGCCCCCTATCCTCTGCCTCCCTCCACGCATCTTGCACATGGTAATCAACGACTTGTTCTACAGCCAGCTCCTATCACCCCAGCCCCTGACCAGAGCCTGGAGGGACCTCCCCAGAGCCTATCCAAGTTCAGACTCCATGTCCATTCCCCTTCTTCGTTTGGGAGTCACAAAGTGCATGCTGGGCTCTGGGCCATGGTGAGCCCGGCATTCAAGGCCTCCCTGGCCTGGCTCCTTCCCACAGTGCTCCTGCCAGCCAGAAGCACTCCCAACTGCCTCACTCTTCCCTGAATCCAAAACATCCCCCACCCCCACCCCCCCAATGCTGGAAGCCCAGTTCAAAGGCCTTTTCCTCCCTGACTGGTGTGGCTCAGTTGGTTGGGCATCATCCCATGAAGCAAAAAGGTCTATCTATGATTTGACTCCTGGTCAGGGCACGTGCCTGGGTTGTGGGTCAGGCCCCTGGCTGGGGGCATGTGAAAAGCAACTGATCAATGTCTCTTTCACACATTAGTGTTTCTATCTTCCTCCCTTCCCCCATCTCTAAAAACAAGTAAATTAAAAAAAAAAAAAAAAAAAAAGTCTTTTCCAAGACTCCTTAGCCTCCACCCCCAGCGGCCATCTTCCTCCACCACCTGCCACACTGGGCTTTGGCCATGGGCCCCTCCGCCCTGCCCAGCAGAGCACTACACGGGGCGGAGCAGGCGGCCACACACATCACCCCGGGGCAGGGGAGTTGGGGCCGAAGGGCAGGGACTCAGAGGAAAGGAAGTTGACCAGACGCCCCGGCCGGGCAGCGCAGTCGGTTGGAACGTCACCCTGATGCTCCATGGTTGCGGGGGTTCGATCCCCAGTTAGGGCACATACAAGAGCCAACCAATGAATGCATCAATAGGAGGAACAACAAATTGGTCTCTCTCTCACAAATCAATACGTAAGTTTAAAAAGAACAAAGAAAAAGGAGGTTGATCAGACTGTCTTGGTGAATGAGAGGCCCGACGCTGGCAGGGTACAGCGTGAAGCCAGAGGGCAGGAGGCTGAGGGGCCTGTCTGTGTGTGACGGCGCCCTCGGCGTTGTGCCTGGTGAGCTGGGGTACACAGTCAGTCCAAATGTGACACTGAGCACCAAACTCAGGCACCCCCTCCTGCTTCCCTGGGCAGTGGGCAGAAGACCCCTCTGCTCCCCTGGGATGGGAGGAAGAGGGGGAGAAGGAGCCTCACCACCCGCCCAAGAGGGCTTGGGCCTGGGCAGGCTGGCCCTGGATGCCTTCCATGGCGGTAGAGGGGGCGTGGCACCAGCAAGACCCTTGACCCCCAGGCCCCAGCCCAATGGTGGCTGAAAATGATCACCGGGCACAAAAGAGTGACACAGCCAAGGAGTCAGGCACCATTTTTTTATAAAAACGCATAGTCTCATTTTTCCACTTTAAAATCACATTCAAAAATCGGCAAAGAAACGCCCCGGGGAGTGAGCAGATGGGAGGGGAGGGCGAGCCAACCCAGCCCCTGGGGGAGAAGGCTCGACACCACACACGGCAGCGCGACTGGCACGAGGGGGCATGCGGCGGGCGAGGTGGCGCCCTGTGGGTGGTGGCACTGACGGGACACGGGGCCGGGGGCTGGACAGCCCAGGGGCACGCTGGCCGGCCTGGGGCGGCGAGGCTGGCGCAGCTGGCCCCTCCCGCTGTGCTGCCAGGCCACCCAGGCTGGCCCCTGTGGTCCTGGGCGGACAAGGCCTTGCCTGGTCTGGGGACAGAGGGACCTCAGGGCCAGGCTAGACCAGTGTGGCGTAACCCGTAGTTGCCTTTCTGTGGTCCCTGAGCCGGGCGCACGGGGTGGGAGGAAGAGCGGGGCTGCAGTGACGGCGGCGGCACCTGCTGCCAACGCCCCCCTCCTGGCTGAGCCCCACGGTGTCCAGGGAAGGTGAGAACGTAGGCAGCCAGTGACGCAGGGACTCTTCTCAAGTGAGGGTGCAGGAGTCCAAGTCACTGCGGGCAGCCTTGGGGCCAGGGAGACCGTGGGCTCCTCCTCCACCAACTGGCTGGAGGCAGGACAGTGCAGGGCTATGTCCCTGTCACAGGAGGGGACGAGGTGGGGATTTTCAGGTAGTATTCCTATGCTGCAGCCTCCCCTGGGCGGGGGACGCCGAGCCAGCCCGCTGTGCTGTGCACAGAGCACAGCCCACAGAGCCTGATGTGGCACTGTCCCCAGGAAGGGGCCGGGGGCTGCTGGGGGCTGCTGCTCTCCCCCCACAGGAAGACACTGGGAGCGGGCACCCCCCGGGGCATCAGGGCTGAGGGCGGCTGGGTTGGTGGCAGCAGGAGCCAAGGCAAGCGGGCCCCGCCCTGGGGGCTGGGGCCACAGGAGATCACAATAATTACAAAATAAAACCTTTTCCGCTTTGCGGGAAAACAAATAATAAAAATTCAACAAAATAAATTAGAGGCTTATAAAAGGCGGGCGGGCGGGGGTCAGAGGCCGTTGGCGCTGCCACGCTGGACCAGCGGCACCTTGCTCAGCTCCACCACGGGCGAGCGGGCCTTGTTCTTCATCTTGGGCACCCGCTGCACCAGCTGCTGGGCCTCGCGGTAGGCGTCACGCAGCTCCTTCTTCCACTGTACCAGCTCTGGGTCGCTCTGCATACGCCCGTGGGCCTGTCAGGTAGGGCCTGGGTGCCCCGAAGGCCACTCTGCCCCCATGCCGCCCCTGCCCGCCAGCCTCCCCACACCCCCACTCACGTCGCACTGCAGGACGAACTGTTTACCGCTGCGAATCTTGAGAAGGAGGCACTTCCGCTCCTTGATCTGCGTCTCCTCCACCGACTGGATCTCCTCCATGGTCAGCAGGCTCTGCTGCGGGGCGGGCAGGGGTGGGCAGGGGGTGTGAGGGCACAGGACAGGCCCAGCCAGCCCCGGCCCCACGGCCCCTGGCCCGGATCCTTACCGGGGCCTCGCCCTCGCCCCGCCACTCGAGCCGGTTGGGGAACAGGTAGAAGTACCGCCGCTGCCA